ACTTAACCTGTGTTTGAAATCTTTTGATTCTCACAGTGCATGACCCCGATATCCAATATCTGATTCTTCAGTTTAACTTTCTTTGAGATTATCTAGGTACAAGACAGGAACTCTTGAGAACATTTTTCCATGAACTCCAGTGAGTCTCTTCAAAGTGAGGTACAACTCAGCTCTACAGTCAGATATCTATCTAGGCTGAGTAGCTGACTGGGAAGACTAAAGTTGAACTGTTCAGCTACCTTTGACTTGTTAGTTGTAAAGCTTTTAATGAACCTTTTCTTTTGGTAAAGAATCAGTAGCCATACTCTCCAGTTTCTTGAGAATATGCTCAAAATATCCACAGAGATCTTTTGCCATTCTGATGAATTAGACTGCTAGGAAATTAAATTAGTACTTCAGCGAAAGTTTTTCAATTTTAGTAGCTATTTAGTCAATAGTGTAAGTCCTGTCAGCTCCACTTTTGGAACTGTGGCAACTTAAAAACTGTAAGAATACAGACAATGGCTTTTCTCTATGATATCGTGATTGCACAGATTAATAAAAGCAGCAGTGTAGAAATACTGGGCTCTCTTTATGTAAACTGAAGTGTGTGGTGCCATTGGCTTTGCTTTAGGCACTTTGACAGCATCTTTTGAGGCAGTTAAGTAAATTATGAACTGGCGAATTCCCTGTCTCTCCTAAACTGGATCTATCACAGGCATGATGAGTCAGGTTGGGTTAAACACACAGCAGTTTAAATGCTCCTTAGTGTTGGGATAAATCCGTCACATGACTTTTTCATGTCTTCCTTACTGGACAGGTAGATGCATGGCAGCTATTGCTAATCATGAATACCCTACAAATTACTGTTGCCTTACCTAGAGTTTATAATAAAAATAAAACAACTGCATTTGAACAGACAAAAGAATTGTATCCACACTTTGCTTGCAGAGTTTCTTCTGCAGTTGAATTTTTTATAAGGCAGGTAGAGTTGTTTAACAAAGCTTGTTACTCATTTATGTCCAACTGAGTAACAAATTATGATCTTGGCTCTATAGAAATTATATTAATTTATTTCTTACGGATAGAGAAGACTGTTGGGCATACAGTGTTGTCAGGTATGTGTATAACTAGGAAAAGAAGATGCCCAAACTATACTAAACCTCAAGACAGGATGCTTGTTGATACTTGTTGCTTATTCTGTAGAGAATACAGAATGTGTGCTGGCTTGTGTCATCAGATTCAAGTCAACATATCTCTTCCTGTGTGCTCCTGTGGCTTTGTGCACAGCTACTCTGTGAACTGAGTGTGGTCAAAGTGATGCGAGTGATGCCTCACATTTTGGCCTTACACAGAAGAACAAGATGTCTTCATTTGAGTCCTCATATGTGATATGTTTGTAAACACATATATAACTCTTTGCAAAGGGTAATCAAATCCCAGCGTGGAATCTGAGGAGATGTACTTGTGTTGTAAAAGCTAGAAGCAGAACATCACCTTGCAGAGGCTTTGCTCCTTGTTAAATACCAGACTTGTTGGTGTTTATATGAAGAAAGGTGAGAAGATACAACATCTTCACCGGATTGTATAAGCTTGGTCCATCCTGATTTGAAAAACAGATCATTGTATGACAACATGAAAATACTTAGTTAGCTTCTCGTGGTGATAAACTAGTTTAAGACCAGTTCACAAACCTATTTTTCCTGTGTGTGTATCAACTTGACTTTACGAAGCTGGTTGGGTAGGGTCACTTATCCGGTTTATATCCTAATACTCCTCTTTCTGTAACAAGATACTGTCAACTGGCCAGCTCTGGAGCACAAAAAAATCTGTAATAGCTCTCTTGAGTAAGTCCGACTCTCTTGCTGTGCAAATAGCCCTTTTACTCAGTAATCTCAGACTCTATCACAGAATGCTGCTTATTACAAAATGAAAGATGTAAGTATACATGTTGTGCTTTAATATCATCTTAGCAAAAAGTTTCCATGGTGATTTTTCTGCAAGGGAGCTCTCTTTCCAATAGAACCACAGTAATTTTCTGTCTACTGCCTTATTCAGATTACTGCCAAATTCGTCAATTAAAGAAACCTATTCTTAGGCATCACAATATATTGTATAGATGATAAAGTACCTTAGAAACAGTGGATACTGAGTTGGCAAATTTTCTGGTCTAAGAAAGACATTCTGAGACAAAGGTACCTTGAAGTCTTTTAAAAACACTTCTGTAAAAACAATTTAAAAAAAATAAAAACAATAAAAAGTAACTATATATAGGATCTCTTATTTACCCACAGCTCTGGATGTTCAAGAGCTCAGGCTTGTGCTTCATGTTGGATTTTGAGGAAGCTAACCTAACATACTTGCAGCAAATTTTGTATTTCTTAGATCTGAGTTATTAACTTCTCTGAAAGCCTTTGACAGATTTGAATGAGTAGTTTCCAGTTTGTTTGTCACTGTCTGTACAAGAGGCACAACTAGGAAATTTATTTCCACGCTGCATTTAGTTTCGTAGTACTTCTGAGGTAGGAAAATAACCTCCAATTGTGTGTATGCGTGTTTGCGTGTGCCCAGTACAGTTGGTTGCAGATACTTAGCAAAGAAGCAGCGTTGCATAAGCCTTTAGGAATTGCTAATGTAGTGACAAACACACCTGATTATTTAGAAACTTGTTATGAGAACACGGATGTGTTTCGGTATAAATGCAGTACACATGCAACTTATGATGGATGTCTGTTTTGTTTGTAGCTGTGTTGAGCTATAGTGAAGTATAACAGTCAATAGTGGACCTTCTGTAGCCCTACTCATATTTAGTTTGCTGTTCTCCTTTGTCCTGTATCTTGTGCTTGGGCATGTGACTTCTTAGTTAAATTATTGTTGCAGAATTCAGAGGTCTTGTTTTGGATTGGAGCCACTTCAAGACGTATAGATCAGTATTAATCCCTGGACCATTGCAGAGCCTTGAAATAGAGAGGAGGAAGTAAAACACATCTGTTTTCACCATCTGTCAGGGCTGAAAACCAGTCGTAAAATTCAGAATATTGACTAGGAATCATCTCCTAAAAATGAAAGAAAATGGCTTATTACTTTTTGTCTATATCCCTTGCTGATAGTTTGCTTTTATTAACCCTGAAACTTATGGAGAAAGACATATGTGAGACCTCTTTAATGTCTCTCAAAAAGTTGAGCTCTTTCTGCTAAATCTTGAGCTTCAAAGACCCCAAGTAATTTGATGGCAATTCTTACTTTTCTAATGCACATGCGTGACCACAGATTGGGAGACAGTCTGTGAGCTCTCTTTGGAGGGGGAAAAAACCCACCACCAAACAAACAACAAAAAAAAACCCTCCAGTCTGAAGCAACCTAGTTTGCATCCTGGTTCACAGAAATGAGCTATATGACAATTAGCAATCTGTCATTAGAGCGCAGCTTAGGTACGATTTTAATTGGGAAGCTCCTGCCACCTTGTGGCATGAACTTTTGCCTTTCTTAAATTGAAAGAATTAAAACGGATACAAATGCCTTTGTAGAAAAATGTACAGCTGGGAGAAAGCAGGGAGACTTATAACTTATTTTAAAATATCAGCAATATTTATAAGCATAATTTAAATGAATAGATAAGCTTATTGCGACCTTTTTTCAGTAGCTGCCTCTTCCATCTTTCTTTCTAATACACTACAGTAATTAATTCTGTGGAAGTAGAGTATAGAGCCAGGAGAACCCACAACTGCTTTGATATTTGTATCAAAAGTTGTTCAGAAGAGTCATTGATGGGTGTCAGTGTAGTACTACTCCCTTGTGTTCATCCTGCAAGGTGTCTGCTTTCATTGTGACACTATTTACTTTCACCTATAGAAAAAATTTATCTACAACTTCCTTCCAGTGACTACAAAACTTCTGTGACATCTTGATTTGCTTAATGAGGCCTTTTCTCTGTTCAGAACATGGGAAAAATAAAACCAGCATCTGTGAACAGAAACATTTGTGTTTGTACTCCCTCCTGTTTCTTTTGCATTTGGTCATTGGTGTCAACTGATGTGGTTCTGTATGTGCGTATCTTGAGATTATATGTCATCATCTGAACTGTTTTCAGGGATGCTGGTCAAACAAGGGCAATAAAACTGTGGCAGTTTCAGCCACCCCCAAGACAGAGTAACAGGGGGAAGAAGTTTTTTGCTGACTTGGTTTGTAATCTCTTTGATTTTCCAAACTTAGATTAGTATTTCCCTCAGGGACTTATCTGAGATATATGTTGCAACTATGCTGATTTAAATAGATTAAAATAACCAACATCCCATCACCACTCCCCCTTCAAGTACAAAGTTTCTCCATTTTAGGAGCTAAAACAAATACTGAGATCACTAGAAGAAATAGATGGAATTTAATCTGCAGTAGTTAAGACTGCCTGTACTGCTATTATTATGCAAAAAGAAACATAGTATTTCTTCTTCCTAACATGTAACATTTTCTAATTAAAACACTGATGCCTGAGCTCAAGAAATGCCAAACTCATTGTCTTGGAGATTGCAATCTTTACCTGGAAGTAAGACACAAAGTTTGGATACTTGATAAGCACCATTTATAATACTGTGTTAATGTGGCTTGTCCCTAAGGCATTTCCCTGTATGTGGTTTTAAATCATGTTCCCACACAAAACTCTGTTTGTGCCAAATGCTGGAGTGCTATTATGTAGGGTAGATGATGCCATAAGCTGGTAGAGTATAAGGATTTTATGGAGAAATCAAATTGCAGTCAGAAGTGGCTGCCACAGCAGGCATCTGCATGTGCAAAGCCTGACTTTCACATCTGTATTCATCTACAGTTTAATCTGTGCTGGTAGTAGAAACACTAGTGTTATGGATGTGTAAGAGTTAAAATTACTGAAACTACTCTGTGGCTGGAACAAGCCTTCCTAGTGTGAAAAGTAGTTCCAACACATAATGTTATCCCTCTGTGTCCTGACAGCAGCTGGTACGAGTGGAAGTGCTGCAGTTAGTTTATAGCTTCTCAGCTTGATCCAAAATATGTCTGAGGTAAGTATAACATGATATCAACATATAGGGATAGCTATTATCAGGATGAGACAGCTGTGTAACAACATTCTGGACAATGAAGGTAGCTCTCAGGGTATTTATTAAGAGAACAGTCCTGCCATATGAACTCTGCAGGAAGGACATACATCACAAATGCCACATTACAAGAATTGTTATAAACAAACAACAGGTAAGACTCATCGAGGACTATTGGAATAAAAACACACAAGAAACCCAGCTGTGAGTCAAAAGAATTTGGCTTTTAGCAGCTTTAAAATCAGTTACATTCTGAATCTGCATAGAAGTGAGCTGTTAAAAGTCAGAGTAGGAGCTTAATGGCTCAGCAAAAATTGTTCTTGAACAAGGAGTTGGTGAGCTGGTTTTTTCTGCAGGCGTGTGGAAACACTGAGCTCTAGGTAGAAATCAGATTGGAGATGAAACTTGACTTTGCAAGGAGAGAAAATTGAGAAATAGTACAGTCAAATTGCAAGCAATGATGGTTGTGTAATATTACTTACTTTGAAAGAAGGGGATAAGAATTTGAAAAGTTGTAAATTAACATGGAAACGATCTAGAACCAGACTTCAAGAGGGAAAACTAATCTGAGCCTAGTATTTACTGCTATAAATTAATTTTGGGAGATAGTTTCAAGGCATAAAAATGGACCCGGCCTCAATCAAACTTCAGATTAGGTAGAGGCTATTTTATACAGCAAATAATTAGTCTTTTCCCTTGATACTAAATTAATGTAGTTTAGGGTTCTTTAGTCGACTTGAGTTAATGGTAAATGTTTAGAAGCAAAGTTCACTAAATTAGCAATGTGCAGCAGAATTCCAAATGATGTGTTTAAGTCTCCAAGTTACATTTGCAGATTGATGACATACGTATGTTCCAGTTAAGACGTGACGTGTGCAACAGCTCTATGGGAGTTTTAGTTTTGAGACTTGGTTATTTCTCTGCAATGGAGATATGCAGTAAACAAAAGGATGATGCTCTTTTGGTTTTCTGTACAAAGTATGAAGTAAAATAAAAATTATGATAAGTAAACCTTATTTCTTGTAAAACTGCAGGATCATGTTTCCGCACATATTTCTGTTTCCAAATTGTCAGCTCCCACAAAGGGAGTGGAAAGTCCCAGTAGGTTCAGAAACATAAGTGCCATTGTAAATGTCACCTCTAACTTGTGAACATTTTGATCTTCACAAATATCACACAATGGCACTGTATATCCAGATTAAAATCTGGCAGGTATAATAACAAGGAGTAGATATTTATTGGTTTAGGTATAGTCAGTGTGGCAAAATTAGGTCGGCAGTAAGATACACACCTGTACCTGTGCTTACTGGAGGTTCAAACCTAAGAGCAGGTCAGGAAGAGGATGACAGGCAACCATCACAGATTGCAGTGAGGGAGATTCCAGTTGGAATATTAATTCCTGGGGGAGGGAAAAAATCACAATGTGAATAAGCAAGCACTGGGACAGGGGCCTGGAAAGGTTGTAGAATCTTTTTCCTTGACGACATCAACCTGATCTAACTTTGAAGTTAACTTAGCTGGGTTCATGTGGCTGGAATGCACATCCCACCAGAAATCCCTTCCAGCCTTAATTTATTCTGTTATGAGGGGCACCTATTTCTAACACTATATAAGCCGTTCTATAAGCTATACAAGCAGTGTTCAACGCATCCCACGTTAGTGCGCACTGCCTGACAGACCGCACGAACAGCCTGCCGCAAGAGGGAGGAGGCGCCGGGATCGAACACAGCAGAGCACAAGGTTTCTGGGTTTCCCCGTGGGCGTAGCTTAGCTGAAAACTCTCTCACAGACTTTATATCTCTGAAAGGGGTAGTCTCCAAAAGCCTGTTGGGTGTGAAGCCTGTGACATGAAAACTAAAGAAAGAGAGGACGTTTCTTGGTTGCTGCCCTGATGCCAGGAGGACCTAGTGCAAAGCTTTAGCTGTCGCATCCAACATAGTGGAAACTGGATTTTGACTACACTGCATTTTCCTAAAAAGGTAACTTGCTCCAAGGGGCCTTTAGATAAGCATGAAAAAGCTGTAAATCTCATGTCAACTTCTACTTTTCAACTCTGCTTAGTCAGCGTGGAAAAAAGCTGGGTGGGTTTTGTATTTTAAATGTTGTTTAAAGAGTGATGCCTAATATATCTTGTTCTTAATGTTGTGTAGTGCTTGCATTATTTTCAATTACTAGTTTCTGAATGATGATATACATAGGTGGCTTTTTTTACCTAAAAAGTTTCCAAGGCAAATGAGTCTTATTGTCCAAGTATACAGAATATTTTGCAGGAAACCTAGGAGGTACTTTTATATAACAAATCTGTAGAGAATTTTTGTAGCTACCAAGAGTAGCAGTTTTGTACAAATACACAGAGTGGAGATTTTTTATAGATAAGTACAGTTTCTGTTAGCAGTCAAACCACTTGAAGAACATGTAGGTAAACTTCCTGCTTAAAAACCTTCGTGAAAATCATGATAGACTTCAAATTCATGGAAAAATAGTAAATATTTGGACCAAAATGTGCAATGTGTTGCACTTTTTATAGCATCAGAATAGTATTATTGTGTGAACAAGACTTGGTACATTCTCAGTAACACTTTGAAATGACAAATTATCTGGATTTCTGTCATAGCAGTTATACTGTACTATGCCACAGTACATAATAAGCTGTAAAATCATAGTGTTCCCTTGAGAGTAATTTTGTCAGGATCTGTCAGAGTCCTAGAGATTGCAGATCTCATCTATATTTTGGTTTGAGGAACCTGAAACCAAAAAATGTCAATGTCTGCAGAAACTAATTTGCCTCTGTGATGCCAGCCTGCCAGAATTCTTGGGCAATTTTTTTACTTCCCCTCTTTAACATCTTGCATGCGGAGCTGCCACAAACAAGTTTAACATTTTGCAGGTTAGAGATACAGGGATTTTATTCACTGTGGTAACACAGTCTGCGTTTCTGTTAAAAAGGTAAGTCAGTATTTGTGCTTTGACATTTGATGGAAATCTCTGTGGTTGCCACAAAGCAAGAAAGAAACAAATTCTAATTGCTCTCTGTCCTCTACAGTTCTGTAGGAGTGCTGTTGCACTAAAGTTTGTGAATCTCACAATGTGTGTATATTTCTGATCCATTATTATGGAAGAAAAACTTCCTCTCTAAGACTGCACCTCTATCTGAGGAAGGAGTCTGGGGGTGATTGTGTTTCCAGGAATTGCTGTTCCTCAAAATCTTTCATTTCTGTGCCATGACCAGAAGAAAACAAAGTGCTCTCTTTTAGGTTAGATAAATGTGGGCAACACACACAAGAAGCACCCACGGTGTGTTAGAGAATGCTCTTTTTAACAGCTGTGACGGAGAGACAAGTAAACTTCGCTGCCACAAAGGTACTCAAATAGACTTTCTTGTGCTGAAGCAAAGTTTATTACCTCATGTCAGAGCAGTATTTCCACAGGCTGCATACCTTATGGTTAAACTCAGTTGCAATGCTCAGTAATGCTCATCTTTGGCCTTTGTCTGTCTCTCTCACTATTTTGAAACTTTTTTTTGAAAGTGATATCCAAATATTTACAGAATATTAGAAATATTTTGGAACTGGGCAAAACCCTACCAAAAAGAATGTTTTCAGGAGTAGGAGCTGGAGGGGACGTGGCTTGCATTGACCCTGAAATGGGGAAGAGCACGTGTTAAACAAGGGACAAGAGCATGGAGCCCAAATGGAGGACTGAGAGGAAAACCATTCCTTTCATATAATCTGCTGGCTACAGCTTTGAAACCTGTTGTGGTCCACACAGTAGGGAGAACATTCACAGAGGGGAACCGTGGAGTAGTTGTTTGTTCAAGTCCATACGTGCTATTGAAGGGTTCTAGTTTGCATTCCAGGAAAGCAGTACTGCAAGATTTGAGAAAGAGGAGACTGTGCATTAACAAAGAAGCCACCTGAGTCCTGCATCAAACACGCCTGGCCAGCCCTTACACTGAGGTCAGCACTCGACCTGGACACTTATGCCTGATGACATGTGGCCTGCTAGAGTGCTATAGTAATAGTTGTCAGGTTGTTCTCATTTGTTCTTCCTTTAGGAAATTATGCCATAAAGCATATCTAACTTGAAGGTAAAGGAATTTCAGTAACAGGATTTCCGAGAAAACAGTTCTCATCATTAGTAATTAGATAAAAACATGCATAACATGAGCAGAGCTCATATTGACTTAAAAATTACTGGATTCAGCAATTTGAATTTGTCAGAAAGTCTTAAAAACTGCGGACAGGAAAAGACAATGATGAAGTGAAGGATGAGAACCTAATAGGGAAGACATTCAGTAGCTGTCCTTTTCTTAAAGGAAGTTACAAGAAATCTTTCTGGAGTTAAACCATCATTTTTATCTGTAATAATAAAAATTGTTATGGAATTGTTTTAAGGGAGAAAACAATAAATCTCTTACACTTCAGTTGAAAAGAATTCTTGCCAACTTAAGCTATATTGCATCTGCAAAGGGTAGGATGTGTAATATCCAAGGATACACTTTAATTCAAGGCTAAAAGCTCAAAGTGACTTTCTCAATATATGGAAGTACTATAATTGCCCCTAGTGGGTTCTTCTTTACCAAGAAGTTTGGGACAAGCTATCCTGCTTGTTCCTTTCTCTTCCCTTAAGATCCTGTACTGACTTCCAACCATTACGGTATTTATTCCTTTTTTCCCTGTTTTTTCCAATAACTTTAACAGCAGCGAGTTTTCTCATTGCTTTGTAGTACTTCATTGCACCTTTGCACAGGGAGGGAAGGAATAGCTGGTTGGAAATTATGAATTTTAATAACTATACTAGGACAGCACTAAGGAGGTTTCTAAGCAGGGGAACAGATAAACCTGACATCATTCAAGACTGGTGATAGCAAAAGGACTTTCAAGCAAAAATTGAGAAACATTTGAAAGACTGTTCTTGATGACAAGGTAAATTTCAAAGGCATCAGTATCTTTTCTGAAAAACATACTTCATAGTATGATGCATGTGTTCTGCTCTCAGAAGGATATTTAATATTTATGTATTACTGATTATGTTTAATGATTATATAAGAAATAGGGAGAATCCACTCTTTTGCCAGCAATCAGCAAGAAAGCGTCTACCTAGGGTCCTGGTCACCTTGTGCTGTCTGTGCTGTAGCAACTAAGCTGCTGCTATGATCTGAGGTCGTTAATTCAGAGCTAAACTAGGATTATCTGCATGAGCTCTCAACGTAACTGGACTGTGAGGGGGATGAACCTGCTTTATTTTTCAGGATATGTTACTATCTTGAGCTGTGAGCTTTATTTTATTGCACTTTATATACTTGATTAGGTAAAATAATTCAACAGATTTGAATCTTAAAAAAATGACTGTCAAGAAGTTTTTTCAGTGAAGAATAAGATGGAAAATAAGGACTTCAGTTGAGATGAAAGTAAAGCCATTCCTAACTGAGACTTGCAGCACTTAAATAGCAGCTGTTTACTGGACCTTCTGCACTGAGGTCTGGCCTGCCTGCTGGAAAGAAGAAGGGACAGGCAGTTTGCCCATACTTCCGAAGATGGTCAATGACAGAAGCATGCAGAGAAGCTTTCCTTTTATACTGTGAAAACTGCCATTTAAATGTATCTATTTTAAAAGGGCAAACCCGCCTTGTTGTGTCCTTATGTGGCAGATGTGACCGTCCTGCTCTGTCCTCCCTGATGTGGGAACGCTCAGTGTAATGTGTTATAGATATTAACTTCCTAGCTGTTCATGAAGAGCTTAAACCAGTGGTGTAAGCTAACTAGTGTGAAGCAGTAAAGCTTTATTTCCGTAGCATGTGTCTGCAGAGGTTCACTCTGTGCCTATTGCAGCTCTCCAGGGACTGTCACTTGATGCCCTAAAATTGCTGTGCTTATCCTGTGTGCAAGGGGTATGGAGGGGGTGAAAAGCAGTTATGCTCACAGTGACAGACGCAAACATATATACGGAAAGAGACATTTTGGCTCTCAAGCATAAAGTGGAAGAAGAGATAGAGCTGCATTTTGCACCTCCCTCCTTATCTCTTTCACACTGTGTGTCTGTATCTTGCAAGCCTGTGATGTTTTGTGTAGCTGGAGAGGAGCTGAAAGTAAGAAAGTTTTCTCTTTGTGCTCATTGTCCCTTGTAGAGTTACACATATTTCTTTGAGACAGATTTTTGTTTTGTAGAAGACTTGTCTGTGGTGCCCAACTCAGAACTGAAGAGATGTATTCCAGTTTCTGAAGCAGCGTCATGACACTGCATCTGGGTTTGTTTCACGGGGACTAATGATGTGCTGTGCTTTGTGTACCCCAGGGATGGGAGAAAGGACCTTGGCAAGAGAAGTAGCAGGCTGCTGACCCTGGTTTACTTTATATTCCCATTGCATAGTACAGTCCAATTTTCTGCATGAGGTTAATTAAAATAAATGAACTGTAGGCAAAGTGCTGCAGTTTAAAATGCACATAAGAGTACTGAAGGATTCTGTTTGTCTTTTCTGTTTGGAATGTACCCTCTTGCATGAATGGATTTTATTGAAAAGAAGTAAGAGAGAAGAAAATCAAACACCATGTCATAGAAGCATAACAGGGCTCATATTTTGAGCATGGATTTCACTGTACCTGGATATAACGCGTAAGCCCATGTATCTGTGACCTGTTTCATTTTTTTCCCAAATATATAGTATAGAAATATTCAGTTTGAGTAAAAGTAATAACAGAGGCCAACTTGTTCAGCATTGACGCACCACACTTGTGTCCAATGATTCATATATTTTTCTGGTAAAGGTAATATTACAAAAAATTGATAGAAAATGACCCTTCCAATAATTTTTTCCCTGTATTTCCCCGGCTTTTTCAAAGCTGTGTCAATGAATAAAAATTAAAATCTCCCTTCCAATCAGTCAAAGTGGGAAGAACACAGAATGTTCCCCTGGTAATTATGCTGACATGAGAGCAGTAAAGGTTTCCTCTATCAGTTATGGTACAAATCCTGGACAAATTAACGTGTTGCCAGGGAGTCAGCTGTGCTCTGGTGAAGGGCAACCTGAGAGTATCACCCCAGTCTTGGGAGATCTGGTCCTTATTCTGACCCCAGGGAAAGTAGTTTGGCCCGCAGGAAACATTTCTTGTGAGAACACCCAGATGTGTAAACTTAAGATGTATATTGATTCCCATATTGTGCTAAGGGCCTACCCAAATTAAGTTCTGTGCCCAAGAAAAGAAACTTGGAGTCAATCACTTCTGTTATGTTTGTTAATAAATGAGAACGTAGACTGTTAAGTATCCTCGAAGGATGAATCTATTCCTAGAGTGCTTTATGTAGCATCAGACCTCTGTAATTCGCAAATACTCTCCATGCCATTCCTTACATTATGTTTTTCTTGTAGGACACATCAAGAGGTGAGGGTTATTAATTTCCTTCTGTTAGTGCCACAGCTTCCCTGGTACTGCATTTATATTGGATCATCATTTGTGCCTGTTTACTACTGTGTTTATTCAGCTGTCCTAGAGCTTCTTTCTGAGACCAATTCAGGGCTGATTTTAAACCTGCTTCTCCATGTATGCTCCCTTTTGTATAAGCTTGTAAGTTCCCACTGTTCAAAAGTACTTCCTGCCAGATGGTCACAGAATTTTGCATTCCCATATCCTGTGAAACAGAAAAGGCCAGAGCCAGTTTCTCAAAAGAGGAACCTTGGGAATTTTTATAGATGTATAAGATTTATATAATATTATTATATAATCTTAATAATATTATTTTAATTTTGCTGCTTTTCAGTATCCTGATTACAGGCCTACTCTTATTTTAGCTTTGATTTTTATAATGAAAATGTTCTTGTAAGGGGAATAAAGAAATGTGTTTAGAACAGAATGCCATCAATAGGTAATCTGCTTAGCAAGACTTGAATTTGCTTCCAATGCTACCATCACCTATGGATCTCCCTTGAGCTATCTGAGACTTTATTGATTAATATGTGGTTTTTCCATCAGGAAAACATTTCCTGGTTTTATGTTCACCGTCTGTTGCTTTAGAAAATTTGCTTAAAGACAAGAAAAGCCAAGCACACAGGCAAGGTGAATTGCCTTGTAATTTCACCATATCTTGGATATTTGCTGTTTGTTTTTACCTCTGCAGGCAAGGAATACATAAAACCACCTTCCTCTATTAGGAAAAACAAACTTCTCTGCTGCCAGAGTAAAATTTATGAATGTCAGCTTTACTGACTCATAATGGAAAACACATAAAAAGTAAACATTATTTTTCTTTTTTGTTGTTGTCTTTGGAAAAAAAATTGAGCACTGGCTCTGCAGTATTAGAATTCTAGCCAAGCTTCTTTGATTTGAAAGAATTCGCAGAGCACATGCATCTAGTTAGGTTTGCACTGCAATGAATGAAGGAGGTGACTGTTCCTCAGCTTTATAGGTAATGCATCCAGTAGCTCTGAATGGGGGGGAAAAAAGAACCTTTTACCTGCAAAGGTATTTTCACCTCTTAGCAGATCTTATATTTACGTTACGTAGAACAAGAGGTATTTCTAATCTGTTTGTGAAAATGCTTTTTGGCTGACACCTGAAAGGCTATTGTCCAAATAGTGTTTGAATACTATTTTTTTAAAACAGAGTAGGGGGTGCTTGGATTGCAGTTGCAGAAGTGACCCTTTCAAGTTGGACACATATTGCCCTTGCTAAGGTGGAAAAATGTTGGATTTCAATAGCTTTCCTATGAAAATATTCTGGAATTTCTCAAAACCAGTTTGTATTCATTTTAGTGTGAGGTTTCTCAAGTAAATGAGAACAAACCAGTTAATATAATGAGAAAACTATCCTGTTATGCTGTTTTGGGAGCTGCTTTTTGGGAGGTGTGAGTCCAGGGTCCCTCAGGCTCACCCTGACAGCTCTGACAGGAGTTCCTTCAGCGGTCAGCTGGTGGCAGCAGCAGAGTTTAAGGAGTGGTTGGATGTGCAGAAACAATTGCCAGAGACCTTAAAATCTTTGGGAGAAGGTAGCTGTTTCACAGTTTCTTCTGTTACCCTTCTTTCTGTTTACTATTCTCTTTCTTTGCTCCTGCAGAATTGACCCCAGCCTTACCAGAAGGAGAGGCTTTTCGACTCTACCTATACTATTAAGCCTACAAGCTCCACAGACTGGAAATTTTGCTGGTTCCTTGTCGTCGGTGAAAAACTGTGGTATCTCTTTGCTTTGGCAAACTGGAAAATGGAAATGAAGATAAATACAACCAAGTTGCTGTGGCTGTTGATGATGTTCTCTGATATTGTGCGATTCAGCTATGAGAAATCAATGAGAGAGCAAGCTATCAAGTTGATGCAAGATGCACCTTTAATTGATGGGTATATAAAATATGTTCAACTAAACCGTCTTTTTGAATCTTGGCAAGTGAGGAGGAAATGCTAAAGTGTGTCTGGATCAGTAGATACACAGGCTGTTACTAGCACATAGTAGTTAGTTACTGTTACAGTGATTTATCCAGAAGAAATTTTGCTTCAGAGTACTTACTGTAGGATCAAGTTATTTTAAAAGTATTTATGATTTTCTGCTCAGGTTTCACCACTTAGTTATTGTTTCCTTTTATATAATGCCCTTGTCTCCTTCCTGTAATTTAATGGCATCTTTCATTAGCGATGACTGGGCAGAGCTAGAAAGCAGGCATCATACCTTGAAAGGGAACCCTTACAAGTGGAATGAATGATGTCTGTGGTGAGTGTATTCTGACCTGGGAATACAAACACGGATTATTCTAGCACAGGTGGTACTGATTATTCTACCAAAGTCCTTGCTTCCAAAGAGCATGGTCGCTGATTTCAGTTCATCCATTCATTCAGAAATCATAGGGAGAAAAATAGATACAGAAACAAAACAGCTATAAAAATAGGAGAAGCAAAAAAAAGTTTCTTGCTGTCTGAATTAAGAAATAAAGCTTGTTTGCAAAAGAAGCGAGACTTTTAAGGATATGTTACTGCAATGATTATTGGCAATTCATGGTCTAAGGGACTATGAACACTGGAAGAAATTACGTTTTGATTAGAAAGGGAACAACTTATATCTATCACAAGCCCTATTTGTTTTCAATTCTAGCCACAATGACTTTGTACTGCGACTGAGAATATTTTACCAGAATAAACTCAGTAGAGTTAACTTAAGAGAACTCAACAAGACCCACACAAACATTGCAAAGCTCCAGGCTGGTTACGTGGGAGCTCAGGTATGTACTGCCACAGTTGTGAGTCTGAGAACATTTTTTTTACATTTGCCTCCTTCCCAGTCACAAAAGTACTCCTGGCCTTGGTTTTGGTTCTTTCTGTTGAAAAAGAAAAAACAGAGAAAAGCCACAGACACTTTTCCATAACATTTTTGTTTCAAAAGTTTGTGTTTTATAATTCAGGTACCCTTAACCAAAACAGTGGCACTTGCTTTGTGATAAATAAATTAAAGTAAACTTATCTGCTTTCCTGTGGGTACTGTGGAGTAGCTGAGTGTGTCAGGAGGCTTTAATCACATCTGGAGTGGATGCTCTTGCCTCGCATCATATCTTTTCCTTTGAGGGGAAAAACTATAATGGCAACTACCTTGTAAACTGTCAGAAATAATTTTGATTGGTGCTTATGAACTTCACTATTAGCAAATGAAAGTTTCTGAGTTGAAACACATGTTATCTAGTTTACTTGTCAATGTCTCTTCCAGTTTTGGTCAGTGTATATTCTTTGCAGCGCTCAGAACAAGGATGCTGTGCGTCTGACCTTAGAGCAAATTGATATTGTCAAGAGAATGTGTAACAGCTATGAAGAGCTTGAACTTGTGACAACTTCCGAAGGTGATACTCTTTCTTGTAACAGAAGTTTTTAAAATAGGATTGCAGGAGGTATGTGCAAAAGAGAGAGAGCTGCAAGCAGGCAAGTTATCCTGGTTTAAAGAGTAACTGTAACTTCAGTTAAACAACCACAATAACTGACTCTTGTGCACAGTCCTGGCCCACTGGAGTCATGAGAAAATTTGCCATATAAACAAACATGCACTAATATAAACTCCTGTTCTATGAAAATGTCAGTATAATTGCTTGCAATTTACAATGACAGTTGTTGCTAAGTAATGCTGGCTTCTTATTTGTCATGAAGTTACTTTGCAATTAACTTCCTTTGTTGTTTCCAGGTATCTCTGCCAGTAGAAGGATTGCGTGTTTGATTGGAATAGAAGGTGGTCACTCCATTGACAGCAGTTTGGCAACGCTGAGGATGTATTATGACCTGGGTGTTCGTTATATGACTTTAACACATTCATGCAATACACCTTGGTAACTAATGTGTATGTTTTTGTGTGACCATCCAATACAAAGTGGTGGCAGCGCCAATATGGGGAAAATATGGATTCAGACACAGAGTTCACCTGTGAAAGACTCTGAACAAAGTCAAGGATGACAGGTTTTTGGGGTAAAGCACTTGCCATATGTCAAGTGGAGACTGAAGGATTTGTTATCTAGTGCTTGTTATGATGACAATTTGGCAACTGTTAAAACTTTTTAACAACACAAAGATGGTAAAATGGCTATCCCCTTTGCTTTATTAGGAAAATTACATAGGGCAAAACAGGCCAAAAAAAAGTACTAAGAATGCATATGATGCAGATAATAGGATAAATGCTATGTAAAAACTCAGCAGTCAGCAGCCTTCAACACTGTCCTCTCTGGCCAGCTCAAAAGTACAGGTCCCATATGCATCTACAGAGACGGGCACTTCGCTCCCATATCAGAATATTAGTACCTACTCTGTTGGATTGACAAAATTCCTTCTTGTATTGATTCAGGGAATGGGGAATTGTGTGCGGAGAGGGCTGAAAAGCAGCCTTTCTGTCTGACTGACATTTCAGCGTGTCTTTGTTTAATGAGAATATTTCTGACAAGCATCTCTTTGCTTGTCTTTACCTTGCTTCACAAGCATACAACAGTCCTGAAACTGAAGGCATAACGTCCAGAAAACTGTTCTGAACAGAAAAAGTACAGTGTGAACAAGATGTGTATTATGTAGCTCGTTATCCCTACCTTTGGCTATGTGACATAGTAATGATTTTTATTGTGTGTAGCATAAGAAGTTTCTGTTGCTGGTACTGTAGTCTCCAGAGTAATATGATGTTTCTCCTCCCTTGCTCCCATTTTTAAGGTCTGAATCATCATCTAAAGGAATACACAACTTTTATCCTAGTGTTATTGGTCTGACTGCATTTGGCCAAGTAAGGATCTCTTTCAGATGCTAATCTAAGCAATCTGTCATGCAACTAACAACTTCTGGCTTTATCTTTTCAAAAGCAACTTGTCATTAGAAATTAATTACTGGAAGGTCTTGATAGTTAGGAGGTGATCAGGATTCAGTCAAACCAAATTCTCTGTGATCTTCCTTAGGGTAAGAGAAGCAGTAGATTTAATTAGAACAATTGTTTTAATACAGATCAGATGTAAGAATTAATATGTGGAAGTACTGGGATGTGAATAACAGTTCAAATTACTTATTTTAGACTAAATTTTCAGTTTTGAACATGTGGTGGTGTGCTAGTTAATAGTTAGTTAATAAATTACTATTAAATTAATAGGTAAATAGAAACCTATACAGGCACATCATGTTTAGACTAGCTGACAGCTGCAGAATTTGTTTATCTGTTTACATGTATCAGCTAAATTATTTCCTTTAAGGAAGCTTAATACTAACACTAACACTGTTGTCTGTGAATCTATTTTAGGAAGTGGTGAAGGAGATGAATCGCCTGGGTATGCTCATAGATTTATCTCATACTTCATATTCCACAGCAAAAGATGCACTCAGTATCTCGAAAGCACCAGTAATTTTCAGCCATTCGTCAGCATTTTCTGTTTGTAATCACTCCAGAAATGTTCCTGATGATATCCTCCAGCAACTGGTGAGCAACAAGGAGTTTGTTTTTTTTTTGTTTGGTTTGGTTTGGTTCTGAGGGGTGGGGTTTTTTGTTATGTTTTGGGGTTTTTTTTTGTTTTTCTTTAATGGCAATGTTTGGCTACTGAGGCAAAATTGCATATTCCAGTTGTAGTGTTAACTTTCCACCGTCTCATCTCTGAACTGGATTTATAAGCAGATCCCTGAGCAGCAACTTACACATTTGCTTGTGAGACGTTTTCTTTGGCTTGTGTTTTGTCTTTGACTACAAAAATGAAGTGTTTGCAAATACTTTGATATTCTGGTTATGTTTGTTTGCTGTAGTCACTGGACTTTTGTTGATTCACGCTAAATGAGAATATAATGAATCCAGGGTAAAGGACAGAGAGGCAAAGCCTTATGTTGCCATGTGAGCTTTGACTTAGAGTGTTGTTACGCTCACTGGTGGATGGGTGTAGAATAATCTATGTGAGATGCCATGAGGTTTGCAGGACAGACTAACGTCCACTCATCGCCTGTCTCTTCATATCTTTCAGAAAAAGAACAAGGGAATTATCATGGTGACTTTCAATGCAGATGTACTGGCATGTGGCAGAAGAGTTGTTAATGTTTCTACCCTTGCAGGTTTGAAGTTCATATACTATAGTTTTTGTAGGTAGCTTCTACGAATTTCCTGTTACCTGCGTCATTTTTCAGATTATGTAAAATATACTGCTTTTTCACTCCCTTCCATACCTGCCCCCAACTTTAGGTATATTTGGAGCTAATATTCATTAAACAATAACAAGAGGTGCAAGGTGTGTAGCTGGAGGACATGATGTTCCCAAATGGAACCAAGAACTACTAATCCCAAAGTAGTTGTTACTTTCTGGAAAACATCTTGAACCTTTGTAATTGAGAGTAGAAAACATGGGTATGTAATAGCTAATGAAAAATCTGTTGTTATATGTTGGCTGCTTGTTAGGAATTAATGTCCTGTGATGATCATGTCTTTTCATTTGCGTCTCATCAGTGTAGCTGTTATTTTGAAGATTGCGGCCTGATGTGCTTAATAATAGGTAACATCTAGTTAAGCATCAGTAAATATCCAGCATATCACAAATGCATTTTTAAATTTAAACCTGTATTTTCAGGATGCCTTTTGACTTTTTTAAAAAGGATTTGATTAAGAATCCATGATTAAGGAGAACAGTCACCTAGTGCCAGTATGTCTGAACTGCATTATTTCTTCCAGATGCCTGGATATTGTTTTCTCTGATATTTTCTTTCAGATCATTTTGACCACATAAAGAAAATTGCAGGTTCAGAATCTATAGGAATTGGTGGTGACTATGACGGAGTGGAACGGTTAGTAAAATTGTACACACACTGACATCTGCTACTTAAATTATGAAGACTTTGATTCCTTTTGGGGGAAAAAAGAAGGCAGACTGAAAGTTGTAGCAAGTTGTCTTATCATGAGTACTAAAACACAAGTACTTCAAGAAAGAGGGGCAAAAACTTTCCTTTTTAGAACTATATGAAGCAATGCTATAAAGGTGGAAACAGATCCTAATGTCCTGTGAGCTCTGCAATTGTATGTTGTAGGCAGTGGTTTGCACATACAAAAATAGTGATAGAGGGGGCTTTCTTCCAGAAGCCAAAGATGAATGACAGAAAAGCTGACTCGGCCTTTAGATGGTTAAATGGGTTAGCTCAGGGAGTTGCTGCAAAACTCTTTCCTTCACTATTACTTTCTAGTGGGGAAAGCCCAAAGTCTTTTGGGGCTGTTAAATCACTCCTGCTTTTTGGACTTGGGAAGCTTTTGAGGCAAACAGAGCAATGGTGAACAGCCTGCAGCATAACCTCTCCTGCTCACTGCTTGGTGAGTGTTGTTACAGCACAGGAAATAAATGCAGATTGGCTTGCATTTGCTGGCATAACCCTGAGCCTTTTTTGCTTTTTATCTTTCTGTTGAATCTTCATCTCTGTTATTTTCATATCTAAGTGTGTCTGACCTCAAGAAAAAAAAATCAGACTCACATCTGTGAAGTAGGACAACAAAACCAGTGTGTCAGCTCCCAGGAGAGTTACCTTGTCATAGCTCTGAAACTGTAATCTACAAAATAAAACCACAGTTTGGAACAAAATGACATATTTTATTGCATGCATTTTCACAAAGTTTAATTGGCAGTGGAGTTGTTAAGGTCCTAAGTCCTGGTAGAAAGCAATGGCACAGATTTCTTGAGATATGCTTATCACCACACCTCCACAGAAAAGAAAATAACGGAAAATAGTTATCTCAAAACAAAGTCAAACACTCATGGAAATACAATTTTAAACAGCTGTTTAATGCAGGTTTTGCAGCTTCTTACTTCTAATTCCTTTTTATTCTGATAAGAAGTAGCACAGGACATGGGTCAATTTTGGTTATTGTCATTTCTTCAGTGGGGGTTCTGGATAGCTTGCTTTTCACTGCCTAAACTGCTGAATTCAAAACAATATTATTATAATTGTTTTTTATTTGGAAAAATGACTTTGCAAACAACAGGTTACACAAAACTGCCTGCAACTCCTTAGCTCATCTTGTGTGGGCAGGTTCCCTTTTGTTCTCAATTACACAAGTAGATTGCACCACCTCCATCTGTGATGCAGCTGTTCCCTCATACTCTAAAGGCCAAATATAAAAAGTGGATTAATGCATACATGACAAGTTTTTTGTTTTGTTTTAATATCCTCCATGCTCTTATTCTGCCAATACACAAGTGCATCTTCACTCCAGAATACGTAGTTTTGTTCTGCTGATGGGATCCTCTGTGCAGAAAAATCCTTTCATTGTGTCCTCATCTTGCTTCTGTTTACGTCAGTTGAATCTTTAATTATTCTTTTCAGTTTCTCAGAGTCCAAAGTGAGCTCAGTCCAAAAATGAATATGTGCAAAAGACTAATTAAAAATATTTTTCTACATTTTTTCAGTGATGTGTGTTGAATGTTCTTGTGTGACTCTTGCCAACAGTTTCCCTGAGGGTTTGGAAGATGTTTCTAAATACCCTTCTTTGATTGAGGAGCTTCTTAGAAGAGGATGGAATGAAACTGAACTGAAAGGCGTCTTAAGGGAGAACTTTCTCCGTGTCTTCAGAGAAGTAGAAAATGTAAGATTAAAAACTAAGCTGAATCTTGATCCTTACTAAGAGGGAGAGAGAGGAAGTGTTGGTGACTTGCTGCATTTTTTGTTTTGTTTTGTTTCCCCCTCAATGAGAGAGCTATGAGGGAATGTAAGCACCTAATTCCAAATGCTGGGAAAGAAACCAAGATGGCAAGAGAGTGTTAGCAGAATAAAGGAAAGTGAGAGAGAGCAGACAAAGCTCTTTGGAACTTTTTCTCTCTGTGGTAATCTGATAAGTACACATCACTGACTTCTAAATAGAATCACTTCATGGTTTGGAGAAACTGCGGACGTACTAGCGTCACAGTCTGGCTGTGTTCGCTGGTGCAGTAAGGAATGCTGACTCCTACAAGTCTATTTAATTCTTGTCATGGGATTGGGCTGCTATCCAAAAAGCTTCTGCCATGACCAGATCTCTAACAAGCCATAAACATAACAACTAGATAACAACGAGCTTTAAGTGTAAATGGTAGAAGCTAGTCCAGAAGGATGAGGGAGAAGTTGAGGGAAGGAGAGAGACTGTATGAGAGTAAAGACCTCCTAATTCATAATTTTTTCAACTTGCAATCTGCTTGCCTCTTACTGTCTTTATTTACAGGGACAAGTAAGTAGATATTACGCACAAAACCTTATGGATGACATATATTTCACATTGATCTTTTTTCCAGTTGCCTTTTTAGGGTGTGTTAGATGAACAGAAATCAGGGAATTCTGTACTCTTCTAGTAAATCTGACAAAATAACTACCTAATGCCACTTTGCACATGTGGCAGACTGACATCACAAAGAGGTTGAAATTCATCACAACTAACTGATCTGTGAGACATCATAATTTTTTTCCTTCTAAATTAGAGATGTTTGAATCTCTGTCTTGAGACTTGGAGCTGACTTTGAGGAAGAAAGCTCATTGTTTGCTTAAGGTTTCCCAGCTAATTCATCATTATGTGGAGGGAGCCAAGACAAAGAACAGGCAGAGCTGTGACTCTTGCTTGTAGTGTATCTGTACTGAATTCTGGAAAGGGTTTTATAGAAATGCAAACATCATAATTATGTTGATTTCCTCACATTCAGATGTGTTTTTACAATACAGTTTAGAGTTGGTTCACTTGTAATAGCACTGAATTTGCTAGCTGCATAAAGCTTTTTGCTGTTGTGCCAGCCTGACTTACAGGGGCAACTTTTTGAATTTTTCTAGGTGCGGAAGATTAGTGGACTAATGGATGCAGGTGAAAGTGAAATTCCGCAAGAAGTAGTACAAAATTCCTGTCGCCTAGACCTACGTAATCATCGGCTTCAAACAGACAGGTCCTTTGGATTTCCTTCCGTGGCACAACCTTCTAGTCTTGCACTTGTAATTGTATCATACTTAATACTGTATTATGAATCATAAGCTCTATGGGGTCTAGAGAGAGATATATGGACTGGTCTGCAATGCAATTAGTTATCTATTTTGGGTTTTGTTAATGTAAAACTATGCTATTTTTTAATATAATTTCTATAAATTCACCTGCATACTTGAAAGTTGATATAAGTTAAATGCTGCAGCAAAAGCATTTAGAATTTGAAGCGATGAATTCTGTGTCATCTTGGCTAAAGCAGGACCAACACTGTTAGTAGAAAGTATTCATATCTAATGAATAAATTCTCTAATACATGACACATGGGTTTGGTACCCATATTGTGGCACTTGGTATAAACACTGGAGTTCAGAATCAGCAGTTCCACACAGGAACTAGAGGATATGATTAAGACAGCTATGCTGAGATGTTTTCAGATATTACTTCCTGTTAAATCATACAACTTTCATCATCAGCTGATGGGACCACTCCCCTGATATATGTAGAAGAGCGTGGGGTTTTTCTTGTTTTGGGGGGTTTTTGGGGGTGTTTCATTTTTTTGTTTTTTAAGATGACAAGATGGATGACATAGCTATTTCTTTTTGGATTTCATGCCTACTACTAGCTTTAGGGATCTTTCATGCAGTACTGAACTCTTATTTTTGAACTCTGACCAGGACAGTGGGCAACATAAGAGTTACTGAAGGGTGGAGGTAGGTGTCTTGCATTCAGGTACAGGTGACCAGGCTATGTTGTAGATACTTTTCTGTAATTTGGGGACTGCTGTTTGCTGCATGTTCATGAAGCTGGGAGCAAGAATAAGCCAGGACAAAGCAGGAGTTCTGACGATTCAGAGGGTGAGAACTTTTTCTGATATTTTTATTGCAGTCTGAAAAGCATAAAATGAGTAAATAAAAAAAAAATAGTTAGAATGTTCCACAGTTTTATGGAAATCTTTTTTCACATTTAGACAATGATCCTTATCAATAATAGGTTTTATTATTTTATTTTTATTCTAGCTGTCTAAAATCAGACCATTGTCAAAGGATTCTTAGGCATGAGATTAAAAAGAAATCTTTTCATTGTAAATATTCTGCTGTTTCAGCCTTTGGAAAACATTTTCAAATATACAAGGTATGTGAGATTAGAAGCTACTGTGTACAGAAGAGCATGTATTGCAATAGGCCTAGTCTTGGTAGGCTAATATGGCTCAAACCTGGAATTTTAATCAAATATCCTGAAATTCATTATGAAGTTGTAAGATGGCAGCACTACATCTTTATAGGGTCATTTCTCAGTGCTTCCTAGTATATGCCTTCTCATGATACTTGCTGTTAATTGTGATGTTTATCCCATGATATATGTTTTTATTTACTGATAGGACATCTACAGAATTTAGCCTTAGTATAAAATAAAATAAAAGTCCTGTATTGATCTAAGGCCAGTATTTGTAAACACGCAAAGTATTTAACAACTCAAAGACAAGGCTAAGCATGAACAGAATGGAAACAGCAAGTCAGTTGTTTTCTAGAGTCACTTGAGACTGTTCCTGCTATCTATTTCTGCATTCTGCATGTACAAGTAGTATTTCTGGAAGACAACCATTCTTTTATTGCTTCAAAATGAAGCTTCATTAATTCTTGTGATAAGGTGGTCTCCTTGATAAGTATATTCTGAATATACTACTGCCACTTACTGAATTCTGTACAAGTCATGTTGAATAATCTAGTTTCATAAAAGCCAAGTTTCTAAGAACAGTTTCTCAATAAATACTGCTCCTGGTTATGCATCTACAATGGGGAACTACTGCACTGACACAGAAGTCTTGCCTTCCTGATACTGCTTGACTGGTATCAGAACTTGTTTTCCTGGTAAAATGATGAATTCAATAGGGCAGATATTTACTTCCCATCAGTACTTCTGCTAATAGCTTCATAAACCCTTGGAAAACTGACATCCATGGTCTCTTTTCTCAGAATTAGTACTGTGATAATAACTTCATCGCATATTTGAAATGTAAAATGCCTCCTTATTCCTTCCAGCCTTTTTCTTTCTACTATGTTGTGAATTCCCTGCCTGCTAATTTCTACCTTTTTTCCATACTAAAGCATGGATTAAAAACATATTTCTTTTCTTAAAGATGTGCATAATACTTTTATATGACTGATTCCACCATACTATAGATATTTGTAGTTTATTTCCGTGTTTTATCATAGTGTATTGCACTTATTTGTTTGACTGCTTTCTGCAATTAATAATTTGTAATCTTGTGCCAAAACATATGCATGAAATGTAAATAAAATATTGTTTAAAATTGTGTATAGATGCTGGTGTAATCTCACAAAACAATGTAAATGTTCAGAACTGCAGGAAACCCTGAAAGAACTATGCAACTCTGCTGCAGAAGGAAGGCAGGCCAGGGTTTCATGAGGTTCCATTCTTCACAGGGAAGGTAGCCTCCCTTATGGCAAGCAGGAGAAAGTCACGTAGGTGTAACCCTAAAGCATCCTCTGTGTAGGCAGTCAGCCTCATCTTCACTCAGATACCACCTAACGTGCAGAGAAGTCCGAGCAAGTGCCTATGGAAAGGGAACATGGATGACTCGGTCTTTGCTGTCAGTCCTTGATGTCAGTGTTACCTGCAGCAAATCACTTGGTCCAACTAGTCAAGTCATAGAGAACAAGGCTAATGGGGAACTAGACAGGTTGCCTGCACCAAGGTGAGGATAACCTCTACTTCACAGCATTTATCACAGATGTGTGATGATCTGGAAGTCTCTTTTTCCATTCCTAGTTACAATGTTAATTCAGAACACTTCAAATAAGCTGCTTGTGTGAAACCAACATCAGAGTGCAAAATTGTCAAACAAGAAATGGAATCTTGTGCATCACACAATGATTATGCACATTGTAGCTAGCTTATCTAATAGATGCAGTTAGTTTATTTTTCTTAAATTATTCAAATCACAGTTTGAAACATGATAGAAAGGCATCTAATTAGAATTCCATTTCAAAAGTAAAATAATGTAAGATATGACTGTGACTGCTCTCAGAAAAACTATAGTGATCCTTTGGTCTGAGTGCTGGTGTCTCCAGTCCTGCTGACAGCAGCTTGTAGTAGTTACAACACTGCATTTCTAACAGCTGGAAGCATAAAATTATTGCACTTTGTATCAGATACAATTGAGATACCAGCTTTATAAGATGGCTGCCAAATGGAAGAATGCAAGTCGTTATTTACCTCTTCTAAATAATTAATTTTGCTAAAATGAATTCTGAAAATAATTACTATTTCTGTAAATCTCAAAATCAAGGTACTATGAAGTACTTCAGGATTATTTTCTAACTAATACCCAAACTTCAAGGCATTTTTAACAATCCACGGCTTATTCTTTCACATATGTGATATGAACAGTCAAAAACTACAGACATAATATTGATGCAATCTATTGATTTGATTCTAAAAGGGTGTTGCCAGTGCCCTTCCCCCAGTACTATCCTTTTCCAGACTAATGGGCTGCAGCATCCACAGAAATAAACAACTTTAATTTTCAGTTGTCTCATCTGGGTAAGTGTTCATGCTAGAAACCAAGCCTAAAAAGTCTGTTGCTAAGCTAACGTATACAGCTGATCTGTTATGTAAAATCTGAGTAGTTCAGTTCATGTATCTAACTTCTACTCAGCAGGTGACTTGTTTGGGCTCTAGAAGGACTTTTGCATGTTTTACATTGGATATGGACTACTGAACTGTGCCGGTGCTTAACATTAACCTTCCTTCTTGCTTATCATTGAGCTGCTCAAGCAATATGCTAACATATTTCTGTTTCAAGGTCAGTAAACATCATGCATTAAATCTAACCACTTATATAAATTTAAGTTTATTAACTTCTGTTTGATTTTAAACATAGAGTTCAGTGAGCACATCTGCACCACAGAATGAACTTTGAAAAGCTGGGTATCATTGCCTCTCCATCACCTTCTGGAGTAAGGTGCTGTGCCATAGCAGCTTAGGCCAGTGCCAACTGTGGCTGCTGCAGTCCTACCCTGTTTCTTTGCTGCATGTTGTCTCCCCTGTCCCTTGTGTCAGCACTGGTGTTTGTGTAACTGTACGGTAAGCTGGTTCAAGGAGCTGATCTAGCTGAAAACTGTTTTCCTCCCTGAAGTGATGGGTTTCCTGCACAGTAATTGGGTTAACCATGTTCAGTGTTAGGGGAGAGGAGGAGCGGAAAAGCAGAATGAGACCACAGGAACTTGAATTTCTTCCATTTGCTATTGAAAGCAGCAGCTCCTCTATTTGCTCTTTGGATTTATACATATGGAAATGTTCAAATTGCTTCAAATTCTGAAAATGTAACATGTATAAACTATAAAAATTTAAATAACCAGAAGATTCTTCCCACTAACAGTGGCTTTCATTTGCTCTTAAGATTTGTTAGATTTAACTTGCAGACCCAGAGCAGTATGCTAGTGGATCTGCTGAACTGTTTTCAGGACAGACTGTGATGCTGGATAACCCTTCATGGAGTGTTTTGGAAGGCTTGATGCAGAACTACATATATTTTTTTTTTAATCTGGTCTTGATTTTTGTCTTGATATCTTACCTACAAACCTTACATCTACATAGAATAACTTGAAATGGTGGTGGGTGTTTGGTGCTCCTATAATTTTCCTTTTTCAATCTTTTGAAACCAGAGAAATGGAAAAGCTTTTACTAACCTTCATATTTATTTATAAGTTTATGATGTAATTTCTGTCAGAGGAAAAACAAAATTTGTGGCAATGGGAAGCATTTTTGTCCCATTTTTGTATTTCACAGATGTCAAGGATCTTCAGTGATTCAGTCAGAACCTCTCAGTCACTTGGTCCAGTATTACTAGCTCATTACTAGATGAGCTACCCATAGTCTGTTTCACTTCCTGGCACTCAAACTGCAAAGGTGGCAATTCTTTCCCCAATGTCTGTAGTGTCTGAGAAATTATTACAACCTGTGAAATTGTTTTTTTCCTTGCAAAGCAAAAGCAACAAACAACCCCTCCTCCCTAAAGCTGTGACCTCAGAGAGAT